TACTTTTTTCAATTTAATCTTCTAAACATTAAATTTTCCAGACTGTGAAGTTAAGGTTGCTGTTATATTTTACTCAATGAAGAATTTTATAATCTGTAATAAGAAAATATATTTTCAGGAAATCGGGAAAGATTTAATATTTTACATTTCTGTGGTTATTAAATTTTGGCCCTAACTGCGTTTTTGTACTCTGTATTCAAACATTAATTTTTTAAGATGTTGTTTGTAACCTTTTTCACTTGTCCATAACAACAAAGTGGAAAATTCTTCCATGTATGAATACCATTAAGAAATTTTTCGAGACACTGAATATTACTGTTTTCATTATTTTATCCTCTATACCAACAGAATTTTTGTTTTTTGTTTTTTATTTTCAGAAAATTTAGATTTTCATCTCACATTGAAATATCACAAATGAGTGTGCCTAACTATGAAAATTTGAATAATTTTTTAATTATGGAAAAAAGTGGTACATTACATTTGTATCGAGGAAATAAAAAAAGAAAGAAAGGAAACTCACCATCCATGAATTTAATTATACCTAGCTTGTGACACTCAGAAACCACATTAAGCTTCTACTTGTACCAAAATAATCAAACTCATTTAATTATTTTAATTATTTTCATCACATTACTTTTAAGCAATTCAATATACTTTATCATACGTTTCAAATTACACTTTTCAACTTTAAGTTAACTTTTTTCTTCATTCATGCGTAAAAGTATGTAAATTCGTAGGAAATTCTGAATGTAGTTTAGATTGCATCTTATTTCGTGAACAAAACTCAAAACAACCTCGATTTGGTCTATATGTTCAGGGAGTTTAGCCTTTTATTGACTGTGAATGTCGTTTTTAAACAGAAAAATTATACTTTTCTTCTTTTTTGGAAGCATGTCATTTATTTTAATTCCAGCAGATCTTGGCCTGCTTTTACCGTTAGGTTATACTTTAAATATGGTTAACAAATCTTGAGCGATCTGATCCTTGTATTTTAAGAAGTAAATTTTTTTCTTCATTTCCTTGTGTGCGATGCGATGTTGTCCTTGATTCTGCTCTTACGTGTGATGTCTGATATTTGTGTGACATGTGATATGTGATTTTTTTTTTTTGCGTAATGGCCAGACACTTGATTATTAAGAACTGGTCATAAATTGCCAAATTCATCGATCATTTAGGCGTATCGTTATCAGTAACGTTGCTCTGTATGCACTACAGTAAACATACATCGTGTTGTATGGATTTGCAACTAGCGTAACAAAAAACGGCTTATATCTTTTTTTATTTTTCTAATTTTTGTCATTTAAAGAGTGTAACAAATTGAAATTGCCCATACTGCTCGTACGGGGACTATTGTCTAGTGATTGTCGTTTCGATTTTGTGCGCCATTTTTTTGATTTCTGCTTTGATAACGAAATTTGTTCTATGGTAGTTAAAAGAAAAATGACCACTCCACCACTTTGATTACCGTAATGACCGCTTTGATTACAGCTCCTCTTGAATTTATAAATAAGTTATTGAGTTCCATCATTTGACTTCAAGCATAATGTCTAATTTTTTTCAATAACATAAAAAAATCATTTTTTAAAATAAACTTAAATTTTTAAAATAAACTTATTATTTAAAATATCTTGGCTTTATTTCCCGCTTAGCAAAATACAAACCCCAGTTAATATTAAATTTGAAAACTATTATCTCGGACACGATCAGTTATAGAGTTTCAAGAGCAACGAAGTTACAAATACATCATGAAATCAAAAGAAATATATTTATTTTTTAATTGCAGCAATATGTGAAAAAATTATATTTTAGTCAACTGGTTAAAATTAATAGAATACTAAAAAATCAAAACAGGGCAAGGAATATGAAATATAAGGAAATGTTGCATGGTAGTTTAACTACAAGAAAGACCTAAAATTTTTTGTAGCAACTTATTGGTGTATTTTTCTCAGCTTAAGGAACTTTCTATTAATTTTATGCTTAAATCTTACTATGACATGGGTATTCTTTTTAAGAGCATGCAAATATCCATTTTAAGAAGCGAGTAAAGCAAATGTTTCTAAAACATATATTTTTCTGTATCATGGTCATCTGCAAATATCTACTTAAAAAACCTACACGTATGAAAAAGTACTAGAAAGTTAAGCTTAACTGCAATTTTAACATTTCATCCACGATAACTATAAAGATTCGAATAATTTCAGTGAGTTCTCTTTTATTCGCAGAAAATAAAGTAAATTATCAAGCTTCATTTCAGAATTTAGAGCATTTATCGTGCAATGAGGGTAATATATTGAACAAGCTGCTCAATAAAATTCCTCAGATAAGCACATTTAAAATCCGGAAATGATTATCCGTTGAGCCATTCAGAAATTAAAAATAAGAATTGACAGACGGAAAAGCTAATTTTGAAGCAAGCGCGCTTAATTAGCTCTAATTACTTTTCAAATGGTTATAAAACGCATCCGGTGGAAATTACTAGAAAATGACGAGTCGCGTACAGTGATGACTATGACATATCATTGTTCAATAATAATAGAGATACTCTGCAAATTTTGTCTTTTCTAATTATCTTTGATTAAATTTCTGCATCTTCAAATTTAGAAATTTAAATTCAGGGTTATGTTTAAGGAATGCTATTTTTATCAGTATTAAGTAACATCGATTTAATTGTAAACATGCTTCAAACAAGTAAGAAAAATAATTTAATTTAGTTTTAAAAATCAGTTAAAGGAAGTATTTAAAGCAATTCTTAAAATTTTGTGAATTAACATGTATTTTTTATATTCCTAATAATCACACGGAAAAATTTACATCATAAATTTTACAAAAATAGTTTAAATTTTCAACCAAAAAGCTACTGTAATTAATTTTAATTGAGAAAAAATATAGTTTTGTATTTTAGGAGCTGTTCAAGAAAAGAGTTTAAAACAGCATTAACATTTTCGTCTTCAGTACGTCTGTAATATTAAGGGAAATGTATTTATTAGTATTTAAAATTTTGATAAATGAGAAATTTCCATAACCAGCTAATGCACTTTGAAAAGTAATTTTTATGAAGACTTTATAACATTACATAAGAAGTTAATTCAGAAAATCCATAGGTCGCAGTAAATATAGTAATATAAATTCAATTTAATTGCATTCATTAATTATGTCTGATTATGACAAAGCACGGGAATTTATATGGGAAACATTCCTTTATTCGTACTCTTTAGAGAAGTTGAAGAAGCGATAAAATTTATTTCGAAGCTAAATTCAAAAAATTCCTTTTAGAAATTATTTGATTCTTCAGAGCAGCAAAAAGAAAAATTAAATTCAACCCATTTCGAGCTAGGGTTCTTCTTAGTAGTTAGTGCTTACTAACTACATCATGATAACATACATGGAGACCATGAAATTTTTCTTTCATTTTACCCTACTTGAAAAACGACTGGACAGAGGTAGGAACACCAAGGGACAAAATCCAGACTATGACAAATTATTATCCTCATCACTTATTTAAAGTATTATTGTACGGATTATCTGAACTCTGAAAGCGAAAAACGGAAAATATCAATTGCGTTCTCGCTGGAATTCAAACCATTGTTCTTCTGCTAGCTAGGTAGACGTATTGATCACCACTTACACACCAAGAGCATGCACGAGGAAATGCAAAAATTTCTAGAAACCTTACCTTTTTTCCTAAAACATTTGTGCAAAAATGCAAAAATTTCCTAAAAAAATTTTGAAGTTTATTTGTACAATTTTCTTCAGTCTGATTTACGCATCTGATATGTTGACTTGTTCAGGAAATTAAAGTGAAAATTCTTAATAGCATCTGTTATTAAATAATTCATTTCGAGTACAACTTGACCAGCAAAGAATAATTCACACAATAAAACTGAAAGTTTTAAAAAATATCGGAAAACTACTTAGCATATTTAATATTATTAACGTTTACTACATATAACTATAGCTTTTACTCAGTGTTTGATAATTTACATGACTTCATAACTGCCACCACGTAATTTGACGGAGAAGAATGATATCGTTCCTTTGCTAGCCAATCGTGATTACCGAATGTAAATTGCTAAGTTACTCTAACTTGCATTTTTTATTATGTTAATCAAAATGTAGTTCTTGTAACTTATTTGTCTGACAGTAACATCATGACAAGCTCACGAAACTCATTATGGCAAGGAGTGCAAGATTACGCCTGTCGTTGACAAGATCTTTGAGCAACATATAGGTTACAGTAGGACTTTGTTGAGTTTCGCTCCCACGTTTGATCGCAAGCACCCGGGGGGGGGGAAGGTCCGAGGATCTCCCACCCATCTTCCCCTACTATCATCAACTAGGACTTTCGGCTCACAGCTCATTTAGATTGCTTCCATGCCGCACTGACACTATACATTTACAAACATCCATGCTTCCTTCGTGATTCAAACCCGGACCCTTCGGTCCTGCAGTCATCGTCGCTGACCACTATCCCGGTTCAAAATCACTCACTTTCCCGGTGATGTAGCGCTCTTCTATGTGCAGTTATTATTTATAACCGCACGAATACATCATAACAAATGTCCAGTCAAACACAACTAAAAAATCCATTCTTGGGCATATCTCAAATTTTCTCCAACTAATGTGGCAGTTCGTTTAACTTTTCTCCATTATAGGAGCGAATATAAAAAAAACCGGTACTTATAAAACAATTATTTCCTCTTCTAAACATTATCTAAAAGAAGTATCAATTACTTATTTGCGATCAGGTAAGTATATTCAAATATTTTTTCTAAAAAAAAGTAAATGTGCACAAAAAGAAAATAATTTATAGTTACATAAACCTGTAAAATGTACCCACAAATACTATGGTTTGGTGAAGGCTAAACTCCCTCTCTGAGTGTTTAAAAATACAGATAATCATGGTTAAAAGTTTAATATTTCCATTTAGGTTTTACTTGTGACGAATGGCAACAAATGACTGATTATTTCGTATTTTTGAATTTCGGTTAATTTTAAAACTGTTTGAATTTACATTACTTTCTTCATCGGGTTTGATCAGTTTCATTATTTTCGATTTCGATAATCGCAGTGCCTGTAATTTGCTGATTTACCATGAAATTATGATTCAAAAAATGTGCCTATAATACTCGTTCTACAGTGTGAGTACTTTACTAAAATAGAATTTCTAAGTGTTTTGTATGTATGTGGATTTAATAATAATATTTGATAAATGTAATTGAATCGCATTTGTAACATCTTTTACAAAATTATTAAATGCAATTTTAAAGCTAGTAATATACTTTTAATATTTATGAAACATTGTTTAAGATAATGACTATTTTAATTTAAGTAGTTTAATATCCGTTCAGATTTAAATATGTGGGTATGGGTATTTTTAAATAAAATTTCTTTGCCATATTGCTTTTTCTTCTTGGAATGGTCATAGCCTACCATCCCCTTGTAAATAGAGAGAAATTCTATTTGAGAGACAATTGTTTTTATTTTTGAAACTTAAGGGAAGCGAAGAAGTGAAAACCCGGAAGAAGTGCCTAAATCAAGACCGGATAAAAGCTCAAATATATTTAGGTGGGCGGGGGACACGAAGCTTACTTTCCTAAGCCGAATCCGGATCCCAATAAAACACCGTAAAAATGTCTTCTATAACTTTAACATAGCATTGAGTATGAGCAAAAAAGTTCATTTCATAGAGACAAGAAACAATAATTGGAAATAATATTCAGTTATGTCGTAGAGGCATTGAATACAGACTTGCATCATATGGAACAGGTCGAAGCTCAAATTAACGACCGTAGAGCTTCAGCAGAAAGTAGACGTAACAGAGAGACGACAATGAATCAGGCGATTGACTGGATGTGCAAAGCTTAGCGACTGGTTCTTGGTATAAAGGGTAAGACACCAGAGTAAAGCAGGCTTTGTTTGGAGAAGGGGGGGGGAATTAAGACGTAACTTGGATAAAGGGAGGCCGAAAAGCGGGAGGAAGAATTAGAAGTTAACAGAAGGAATAAAATTAGTTAAAGATGTCTTATGTGTTAAGTGTGTAATTCAGTAGTGTCGTAGTTTAATTTTGCTATCGTTTGCAGTAAAATAAGAAATTTATCGATAATTGTAGAAAAACATTTTAGGGCGCTACTTTAATAGACGGTTGCACGGATTTTTGGCGATTTACTTTGTCGTAATTGTTGGCGCGGTTTTTACAATCGTCAGCCATCTTGAAAAATGCTGTTTTTACGTATTTTACGCATAGTAAAGTATTCGAAAAGGTTAAAAATATAAATATCGTTAAAAATAATGGATTAATTTTTTGTTGGAAATGTTGTTTTTTAAGATGGCTGGTAAATGTAAATCAATAGATTAACTATGAGTATAAAATACTAAAGTAAGGTTAAATTATTACTTTCATATAGCAAAGAAAAAGAATAAAAATATCGCTATAAAAATATTGCGCCAACGTTTAATTGGATTAAAATATTACTTAAACTGAATATTGAATTAAAAACCATCACACCAACGTTTAAAAGAATTAAAATATTACTTAAATTCAAATACATTAAAATAAGTAAATAAGAACGCTTCGTACACTAGAGCTAAAATGACAGCAATTAGAAGTTTAATGCGGGTAAAAAAGGAGGAATGTCTAGTTACTTTTTTTTTACCATTACAGCGGTTATTTCTTCTACCTTGACCACAATACCATATACTACGACCGTCTTCAAAATCGGCTCTTTTAACTATCTTCATCTGTGATCCACATTTCTCGCACTTCATTGAAGAAGCAATTAGCGAGGTTTCCTCCAAAAATTTAAAATAAATTTCCTCTGACCCTTGTAACAATTTATAAATAAATCTTTAAATAGGAAAGCCAGGTTGGTCAAAATAAGGTCTCAAAGGACAATTTTTTTATTCCAATACCAATAATTCATGGTACTAACCAATAACAACATTAATCTTTGAAAGGGACATATATCCGTTCGCTATGAAATCGAAGGAATTCGAAGAGATGAATAATAAAATTTTAAAATGGCGTGGTAATGCACAAATATTCAGTAACCAATCAAGGAGCTGATTACAGCTCGTTAATGCACAAATATTCTGTAACCAAACAGGAAGCTGATTAAATGACTCATCACGCATAGAATTAAAATTATTTATATAATCGTACATAATTATTGGTACATAATAACCTCATTTGGTACTATTCGGTTTCGAGGGCCGTAAAAAATCGCCAAACTATTGTTGATGCCAATGCTGCCAAAAATAACTGCGGCAACCCTAACACAAGAAAGGAAGTATAATAGTAAATAACTATCTAAGATTGATATTTTAATCTAGATGAAAGGTTAATTTCATATACCTTTTTATTATTATAATTTATATGAAAAAGGCTAAACATGACTGAATGGAAGCATAAAAGTAAATAACTATTTCAGATCATTATTATAATTTATATAAAAATTGCTAAACATAACTGAATGGATGCCTGCATTGCTATTTCGCTACCGACTTATCGCTAAAGCATAATTTCATCTCGTTGGTTGTTCAAACGTAATTTTCTATAATGAATGATGCCTTTTCTTTGAAAATATTCTCGGTAAAGTGCAGAATCGCTCACTTATTTGTTTGCCACTTTTCACAAAGGTAAAAACAATTGGATTTTTGTCAATTTTCGTTTACTTTTTGAGTGAAAATGGGTCGATGTATACATATATAAAGCCAAGGTTGTGCGCAGTGCCATTTTTGTGCAATTCTGGGATTTTTTTTAAGTGAAAATAGGTCGATGTGAACATGAATACCGAGTATGTGGCAATTCTTAATAACGCGTCAAACACTGGGTGATTCTGCACTTTACCCAAATTCTACTGCCAAGTTTTCGTCATGGGCAATTCCCAAATTGTTAAATCCATAGGTTATTAAAAAATGGCGTCTTAAGAAATATAGAACTGTATAAACTTACACAATCTGAAATCAGCGCGTACGCTAGATTTGGCGCGCTGTTAAATGGGCGCATTTGTCAGATTTGGCGCTTTTGCGCATACATTTTCGCTGCAGTTTTTTACGGTCCTCAAAACGGAATAGTACCCATCAATTTTTTTTAAAAAATGCAAAATTAAATCGTATTTTAATATTTAACAGCCATAAATAATGTTTAAAACATTAGATTAAGTTTATAGATATTAAAACCAATTGCTTTTAAAGCAAGGTTACGTCATTCATTATATCATCCACAACATAAAATTATATAAAATATCATACACAATAAAAATTTTTATTTCAAATAAAAATGCAAAATTAAATTGATTTTTAATATTTAGAAGCCATAAATAATATTTAAAACACGTAATTTATGCATAATAAATCGCATTATTTTCTAAATAAAATGACAACAAAGTATCGGCTACCATAAATAACTTGTCCAGCAATGGGTTTACTATAAGTCGTATCGCTCGCCGAAAAAAAAAAAAAAAAAAAAAAAATCACCAAAATCCGAGCAACCGTCTACCAAAGCAGCACCTTTTTTAGTGCAGTCATACACTTATTAAGAAGAGAAACAATGATATTTAGTTCGTTTTTGTTAAATAGTGATTATAACTCATTTAACGTAGACACGATATTAAGTACACTATTCGGGTTATTAATGCTTGTTTTAGGAACTTCTGGGTTTCGTTGAATACTATTGTATTCAACGAAAATAAATACTAGTAAATAAATAATATTATTCACTAGATGCTGTAATAAATTAGATGCTGTAATAAATTTACAGCATCTAGTGAGTAATTGGTTTCAGTAGCGGCTCACGGATTATCCTGTGTATTATTGGAATCTCTGGGTTTAGAGGAATAGACGATTTTCCTGGCAAGGCCTGACAGCAGTTAAGTCCAAGTTGTATTATGTTTCTGTTTTTGGTTTTGTCCGTAGGAAATTTCGAATATCCACGATAAGACGCGGGGTGTCCTTTTTCTATGCAGTTACAAAGGTGAGTACATAAGGCAATTTTGGTTCTGCGTCCTAGCGAATACTTAACACATCTAGGGCTCAGGTGGCAGTTTTCAGATAGTTGTGGCACTGAGGTATTTGATTTTTTAAGATCAGTTTCTCAATTTCGATGGAAAAAAATAGAAGATCTTTAAGTCGTTGATTTTCTCTGCATTGTCCGATAGTAAGATTTGAAGAAGGAATAAGGGCAATGTTTTGCGAGCTGAGTCACCTTCTGCACGGAAAATCCTTGATTTTGAATAGCTAGCTTAATTCTGTCACAAGTATTGTGGATAGGGAGACCTCTTAAAAGCACTTTCATTGGGCATTTGAACTTAGGATTGATGGTGTAATGCGGGTAAAAGCACTGAAGACGCTGCAAACTACGAAACAACAAACAACGAACAAAACTACGAAAGCGGAGATTAGTGAAATCAAAAATGGGTGAGATTAGGCTTGTGGTGTCACAATGTATTCTTGCTTTTCACACTACTTGTATTTACTATTTTTACCAAAAATAGCAACTTTAAATTAACATGTTCTGTTAATTAAATAATAAACTGTTTATTTTAAATTCACACGATGTAATTAACAGTTCTTCTACTTACGAAAATAGTAAACAAATAGTCTCGCATACTCACGTTTCAGATAGAGATTCAAGATTGTTTTTAAAGGTTTTTAAGCTTTGTCAATGGAAATAAGAACTTTTTTTTTAATTTAAATTTGCATCGTAGAACCCTTTAATTCTATAACTTTCACGAATGATTATATTTCTACACAACGTTACAATAACTTTTGTATACTATTAACTAGACAATATTCATTATATTATTGAAATTTATAGGAAAAGAAAAAGTAATTACGGCAAATGACCATCATTGAAAGCTTTCATTTCACTATTTTTCAGATTACTAAATGACATTACACTCTGTTTGAGAATATTAGTGTTCCATACATTAATAATGTATTAAAATAATAATGATGCAAAAGTTGCCCATGGAGTGCAAGTTTGCGATTTTCGCGACTCGACATTTGACTTTTAATGATCATCAAATTATCGATATTCATAGTAAGTTGGAAATCATTATCAACATACCGAAAGCAAACAATGAAAAATCCAATTCAAAATACGAAAATTATGGTTGAAATTTCAATTTACAATTAATACAAAGAAACGATACATTAAAATTGTACATAAAATATGATACATTACTTTTGTTCTCTCCATGTACACAGCGATCTGTTTTCGCTTAATACATCATCAAAGAATTTCAAAAACTCGGCATCGCCTACATTCTCGGCATTAAGCACAGCCATGATCATGATTACCTTAGAACAGTTGCAGCAACATGCACTCCAATTTAGTAGAAAATAAGCCTTTTCAAAATGATATACAGCAATCAGAAACGCAGAACAAGTGACCAAGACAGAACTATCGCAAAATTCCACTGATTCGAGTTAATTAAACAAATTTCAGAAAAATTGCTTAGTTTAGTTTATTTGATAATGGCGAAGCACTCGAGGGTGACCTGCCTACCAAAAAGAATGACCCAACGACGAAACGTGAGCTACCATAATAATGTCATTACCTTACAACGAGTAGTCAAATTTGGCGCGCATCTGCTATTTCCAATTTAGCCAATAATAGTAAATGAAACGTACCTTCAGTCTATTCCTCTTATAGAATATATTGCCGATATCTCACTCAGAAATATTTGCATTAATTTGCAAGTGTTAGATTCCTTTTTTTCACGTCTCCACATGTACTCGGCCAGATACTAATAGAATTGTCCTGTTGACTGTCGAGTACCATGAAGATTTCTTTTACTAGCTGCTCAAATCTATTCAGTACTGTTAGTATGCACGCCTGTCTCTGAATCATTAATAAACGAGCTATAATTCCCTTTTAGATGCGCATATTCTTCGGATTTGAGGCACCTACATGCTTTCCAGCAGTCGTAAATAACAACGATCCTAGTAGGACATTTTGTTTAATAATGTGTAATATTGACTCGACACATCTGCTCTCAGCCACTCTAAACACACATTTATCTGCCTCTCACTCAAGCAAAACAAACACGCATTTTCCTTCGACTCTATTCTCTCTATAATATTTTACCAAATTTATTTTAACCAGTTTTCACAATAACGCCAGCCCCTCCCAACACCACATTCTCCTTCAATATAACTGAAGGCACAGTTTCCTGCAAAACCTCTTCCAATCTGTGACGTCATTTTTAGTAATATCTAATTCCTTTGATATAAAATCATTCACGAATTTATCCAACCACAAATACCTAACTCGCAAAACACCATACATGCTCAGATTATCTTTCGCAAACAACGAATCTTCCGAAAAGGTGTTGTAACTTGATACTTACGTTCTCCTCCCGTAACTCTATATATCCACTCAAAACCAGTCACAGTTCTTTTGCTCTACCAATTTCATATTTGTTTCACAATTCGAACATTTATACCACTTTGCAATTAATAGTTTCTCCTTTCACTATTCAATCAGGCATTTTTTTACCCTTTCGTTCCAACTGGTAAACAAACCAAATTTAGGTATTCACCCATACTGCAGGAATCACTGGTATCAGATATACTCGTTAGTAGTTGAAAGGTTCTTTGAGCCAAAGAATTCTTTTCTGTTTTTTGAGCAGTTATTATACAATTCCTATCATTCATTTAATAGTAGATTTATAATAAAAAAGTCTTTGGCAGTAACATTATAATCCTACAATTCAACTTAGTTAAAATATAATTTAAATTTTCTTCAAATATAAAGTTACAACATTACTGTAATTTGTTTCTAGAAAATAGGGGTAGGAAGCATTACATCATAAAAAGGTGTACCCAAGTTTAAAACAAGTAAACAACGTCTTGATTTGTGCAGCATCTTCTACCTTTAGTTCGTATGAGCACAGAGCTCTATGGGAGATGCTAAAATTAAACTTCAAATTCTACAAGACACTACCGTATTGCCCTCGCGAATAAGGCCAGGCATTATTATGACGAAACAATATGCGCTGCGACTCAGTAAGCTTGGAAAATGAAGGACGTTTTCTGAGAAGTAAGATGTAACAATGACATTCACACCTTGCCTTTCTTAGTGAAATACCAAAATAAAAAACGCAATATAACCCATAACATACTCAAATGCATATTCATTCCTCCAATCGAATAACCATTCTGACATGCCTGAGTAAGCGCGTTATGACCGGTGGAATTGCTGACTCTGTACAAAGCATGGTTGTGTTTCTACCAGATGTCATATTTTGAAGATAGTCAGGGTTATTTCTTGCTATTCTACCATAGTTTATGGGCAGATTCTCGTTCATATGAATTATTAGTTCAAAGGGATTTGAGTCCGGAAGTACTATTACTTTCGTTTTGGCATTTCGCGTCGGACTCCTATAAATGTCGCTTCACTTTTCAAACTATTGCCACAAAATGTTAGAGTCTTGCATAATATTTGAAGAAATTAAATAATGAAAACTCTGCTTAAATGTATGTATATTTCTCTCATTGTGATAAAACAACGGTATCTAGAGCCATCCAATTTTGAATGACGTAATCCTACCTGCAAATATGGGCAGCTTAAATCCCAAATTTGAAATTTGGAATTTGTTTTATTATCGATTTCATATTTTGTAAAATTTTAACGAATTTTTGAGTAATAAACTCAACGATTTAAAAGCGAGCAATGGCAACACTCTACGGGAAAAAAACATTTCTATCTCCAGTGCGTTGAACTGTGTATCGGAAATTCTCAAGATATGCTCATTTTAAAATTATTTTGCGACATTGCAATTGAACTAAATTTTATGGTTTAAGTGCAAAGAACATGATATTTAATAAATAAATATAACACACAAAACGTTAAAATGCCCCTTTGGACGTCATTTAAAATCTGAAACATTTCAGATTTTTTTTATATCTATTTGTTTCATTTTGTAGCAAAATCATACATTAAATTTATTCAAAGTCTTATTTATTCAACCTTTCGTGTGTGTGTTTTTCAAAATATGGTTAATTTCTTTTTGTTCAAAAATAAGTTTCTATTTCATTGGTATTAAAATTTAAAAAAAAACGTATAAGTACTTATCATGCCTAAATGCATTCCCAAATAGTCTGGCTAATATGCGATGTAGAGTTAGCCATTTCCATCCTTACAGTGCCTAATTGTTGTAACGGCTAGCGTTTGATAACATTGCAGACAGTTATTTAGATTGCACTTTACTTATTTAATTTTACAATTTAACTTAAAATTAACTAAATTGTAAAATTACATATTGATCTCCTTTTTAGTAATTTGAGTTACCAACTATAATTTCATTTAAGTAATTTATCTATTAACAATGTTACTACCTCCTTCTATGTCTATAAAATATGCTTTCATCTTTTTCTGAGATGTAAGAAACAAATATATTTTCTTCCTTTTTTCATCTTTTTTATGTGTAGCCACTGTTTTAGAATGAAAGACCGAGGTTGTGCTAAAGACGTATGCAGACATAATTTTTGGTATGTGCAACCAAGACAGTTAAGCAATATGCATCCTCCTATCGAAATGAAACCGGAAACACAATATCCCGAAGGCTGCATGTGTAATGAGAATATCACAGAAGCTTCGAAAAAGCCAAAAAGTGTGTAAATCTTTATCTCTTTTCATTACTTATTGCAACTAATATCGTATACAAGTTACGAATACATTTAATAAGGTGAAGTGTAACTCAATAGTTTCTCCTGAATTAGATCAGCATATCATGGAATTAAGATCAATCGTTAAATATCGATTACTCTGCCTACAGAAAATTTCATTTATACAATTATTGTCTTGAATTTGATTGTGGCATCGTCTTGTCTCTATAAATTTTAACTGAATCAGAATATTATCACCTGAATATGTTACATACTGTGACTAAAAAAATTCTTATTATCAACAAAGATGCAAACTCAAGTATAGATTTAGATATTTATATTTTAATGCTTCTAGAAGAGAATTATAGCTAACTTTATTTTTACAATTTTTGGATCACATAACCGTATTAGCATTGCTAATATTTAGATTTATTGTGAAGTACATTAAGATACTAGGTATAAAATCAAGTGTTCTTCTGTTATCGCGGCCGGATTAAAAAATGTATGTATATATGTGTGTATAGGTGTATGTGTATACACACGTATACATATGTACATACATGTTATATATACGTACATAAACACGTACATCCACACATACATATATTTTTTATCCGGTTCCGATAGCAGAATACCTAAAATCATGAACAACTCGAAATATGTTTAAGGATTTATTGTTTCGAGGCATCTCCTGGATTATGAAATGGGGAAAAAGATAGAGAATAATGTTGAATGAAAAATGAAGAACTCAATGTTAATATTTTGCATTTCGTTCATCCTTTCAGAGAAAGTAAGGTTTTCTGATGAAGTGCAAATCTACGAGCTTGAGAAACCAGTTGATTTCTGCAGATTAGGTGGCTTGTGCAGCTGTTGTCAAAAAGCGTCTCTTCAAAGCCAGCCTCAAAATGTTGGCAGACCAGTGCTGATATATGAATTGCCAGAGCCCAAATTTGATGACACGACGACAAATAAAAGAGATTTCCAGTGGCATGATATGCCTAAAAGGTAAAATTGTCCAATATTATTATATTTAGACTGAAAGCCTGTAATGACATTAGTTTATTAGCTTAAAAGTTAAGTTTATTAGCTTTATTGTTTATAGTTTATTAGCTTTATTGTTTATAGTTTATTAGCTTTATTGAAAAATTATAGTTGATTAACACAAGTTTTGAATTGCATATGCATTACATGTGACAACATGGAAATACAATTCGGTGCTTCCTTATACTTACAGCTCCATTTTTGTAAATGAATACCAATAAATTGTCAATGGAAAACTGTCTTTAGATGATCGGCAGTCCTAATTACGACCATTTGTAGTTTGTTCCTGAATACTAGGAGCCCCAACTAAACCTCGTGTCATCATATTTCCTTTTCTAATTTAAATACATTGGTTATTATTAATTAAGAAAAACTCACAAAAATGACGATTATTCAAAATGTTATACTTATAATTTAATAAACTGAACCACAGTATACAACACATTGTAAGATATAAAATTAAATGAAGACAAATTATTAAGTAATTACGGTGTTATAGAAATTAGCGTATGTATAAAATGTACAAATTAGCTGTGTCAGTATGGTATAAAAAATTACCTTCAGCATGGAGTTTGATCTCCCTAGATGAAATTCAGCACAAACAGCAATGTGTGATGTTATCAGTTATACGGTCTATCAGTTCCGTAGAAAGTGAAAACCATTGCTCCTGCAAAGTACTTGTAAGCGTGCCAAGTGTCTGAAGAGGTGGCTTAAGAGCAGCCCTACTTCTTCCTAAAGCATCTCTTTCACGAATGTTTGATGGATAATAACGAGTCCCATGTTTTCTCCAATCAAATAACGTCTACTATAACTTTGGGGGCTAAACCTGTACTCATTCATACAGCGAAAACTTCTCCAACGGTCAACCGTCTAGTGTATATGTTGATTTGCCGAACCCTTGTATAATGTGACGTGAGCGGCCCTCAAATTTCTGGTCGTCCCGTGAACAAACCTCCTTCTTGAAGCCTTTTACATATAGCTAACGGCGACTTTAAGATACTAGGTATAAAATCAAGTGTTCTGATTCTGGTGGCTGCAGGAAGGGAGGATTTGATTTGAGTCGGAGATGCGGTTGTCTTCCTTCGGGCGATTAGCAACAAATATCGGTCATCGGCGTTCGTCGTAGCGGTTGGCCGTCCTTGGCTGAACATCCTGGATGCAGAATCTGTGGTTAGAAATTCAGTCTATGAACCCCAGAAGGACTCACATTTATAACATCTGGCTACTTTTGTCTGACTTTGGCCTGCCCTTAGTCTCACAATAGCTCTTCATCGCAGTTCTTCAGGCAAACGATGCCCGGATGTCGTTGTTAGAAACTGGTTATTCCCGATTTCTTATTTAAGAATCACAGATAAATTTACAGGCTTTCCTCTCAAACATACAAATTTTTTCTCCTCGCAGATAACACATTCCGATTGTTGCACTACTAAATTGCATTACTGCAGTTTTCTCAACAACTCTTATTTGATAACATATTCAGATTGTATATAAATTCGCTTATTTTTGGAGTTATTTTGATTTCTTCTTAATTTCTTGAAACCAGTATAGTTTATGGTAATAAATGTTAAATGTATCTGTATGCATTTGTATGTACTTATGGAACATATAACTTCTCAGTTTTGTTTCTTTCATATTGTGAAATACGTAAGTTTGTTAGTTACGTAAGATTGCTAGATTCTTCCTTTCTTTGACCATTTTAAAACTAAATATTTTTCAATTTGTTTTCAAAAACACAAGTATAAGCATATGAGCAAAACCGCATAATTCAAAGGTCATATTTTTTGTCTCTGATTCAACCTGTGAAATAAAAAAGGAAACTAATAAATATTTTTTATGAAAATAGGAAAAGAAAGTCAAATAATTATTTTATTTTAATAAATTACAGTGATTAGAAATGACGATAAGCATCTAGATAAATAATTTAGTTATAAATAGAAAATGTTACTAGTTAAAATTATGATAGCATCTTTATTATATTACATCTTATTACATCCACAGTTAACAATATTCATGAAATGTTTAATAAATACAATTACAAATAGACATATTAGTCTTCCTCATAATTATTTTATTTACAAAAAACAAAATTTACAAACATACATTGTACGTCTATAACGCTAGGACTAAATCTCTACGATACAAAAGTTGAAAAAAATAACGTTATCAATTTTTCTACCCTTTCATTATACAATCCTTGTATGTCTGCACTTGGCACTCCATGCAGTTGCTTAATTCTTTCTGAGAATTAATCTTTTAGAACACTGTTAAGATTTCCCTTTTTTAGTTTATTAATCAATTGATATAGACTCAAAGGTTTCCTTATTTCAGAGCCTGAATGCTGATTGCCTGAAAACAGTAATCATCTTTTCATAGTATTATATGGTATTTTCTCCCTCCTTTTACAGCATGACTTCGTGGTGTAATGGTTAGCACATTCGTTGTGTGTTCGACAGGTCCAGGTTCGAGTCCCGGGGAGGGCATTGCACATTTTTCAAATCTCCTGCTTCTAAACAAACCCTAATGACTCTACACTGACGCCTGAACTAAAAGTTGGTGGATGATGATTCTTCACTACCAGGATTTGGCTATTTTGTCCTCTAATTCCCAGTCTCTCTTTAAAAGGAAGAGTACATAAGGCATTTTCCCTCTCTTTCCTGCATGACTTCGTAGTGTGACGGTAACACACTCGGGGCGTATTCGAGAGGTCCAGGTTCGAGTCGCGGAGAGGGCATTGTACTTTTTTTAATGTCCCTTTCTTCAAAATAATCCTAATGACCATACAATAGGAAAACAAACATAGGCTGAGGATATCCTTGAAACTTGTGACCTATGCACCATATGTGAAATTAATTTCAACAGTAACTATACCGATGTTTACTGACTTTTATAAAGACTTAAGAGCACAGTATAGTTATAATCTATAACTGTACTATGCTATCCATAACTATACTATACCATGGGATCTGCAGTTATTATATATATATATTCCTCAAAAGGCAAAGTCGGAGGAAATATATTTGCATACATTTGCAAACTGAATCTAAGAAGTACACTTCTAGCGATGCAAATGCTCTTTCAGAAGGAATAAATAGCTAACATCGCTCAATGATTTCACCAGTTTTCACTTAAAAATAAAACTGCCTAACTTTCCTGAATACCAATGCACATATCTTCAGATCCCAACAATCGTAAATTGATTTTTCGTATCTATCAATTATTTCTTCAGAAATTTCATTTTACTGTTAAATGTAAATATATAAAATTCATTCATAGTAAATATGCCCATTTTAGTAAGTTTCCATACCTTTACTGTTAAATAATCACTATCCGTATAATTAATCTTATCAAATTTATTTTCAAGACGTTTGGCATGCTTGATTATGGCAAAACACATGATAATTATTTGCCTAAGGAAATGGAAGCTTTCATTGAGGACTTTCTAAGGGAAACTAGATCATGTTCACGTTTACATGTGGGGAAACACAAAAACGGCAGATAAGCCAGCACGTTTGTAGAGATCTAAATCGGATCGAGCAACCAGCGTTGAGCAACTTTAGATCTTGGCCATTCTTTTCAATAAGTTATTATGATTTAAATGCTTTCCTTAAAAATGTGTTAATTAAGTAAAGCTAAGAGTGTGGTGCAATTTACATAATTTTATACAAAAAAAAAAAAAGATAGTAATCAAGTTAAACTAAGAATAGTAAAAGTTAAATGTAACTACAAGAGTATTATACACACATTAGATTTGATATTAAGTGAAATTACTCTAACAAGTGAAAGAATTAAACACGCTATTTGCAAAAAGTTCTAAAGTTCTAAGTTTGCAAAACGTCATTCAGAATTTGTAGGCATTTAGCATATCGACTCCTAGAATAAAATATTTTGAGTTAAATATGCGTTTTAATGAAATATTTCTTCAACTCAGAGAAATACCACCGTGGCATCCACTAATAAAAGATCGATGGTTTTTATTGGATGTACCGAGTATCAACAAAAGTATTTATCAGAGTGATTTCACTCCACAAGTTGCAGTTAAGGAGCAAAGGAAGCCAGTGTATCTTGCACCTAATAAAGAGCAAAGGTAAGCAAAAGAATACATACACCATCAACAAAACGCTGCTATAATGATGATAATACTTTGCAGTAAGTTAGGTTTGGGGTAATTTTAGGGATTTCTAACTTTTAGAAATGTCGGTGGACGAATTTATTGCTATGTAAGTATATGAATTAATTATACCGATATTTAAGCTTAATCCTTATATTATGAAGCTTAAAGATAATCAATGCTAATACCATACATAATAAATCGGTGTTAATGCCTTGCAAATTTAGTCTGTTAGAGGTGAATTTAACTAAAAGAACATATCATAATCGATTATTAGCGCCGAGTAGTCGAACTAGATACCTGTTTGTTGTAAGATTGTTTTGCTTTCAAATCATAGCCACATTTCAGATCTCGATCAATATAGATGAGCTATGTAAGAAAAGGATTGTTCTACAGACTATGAAATTAAACGTCCTCTTGTCGAAAAGCCATCCTGACAAATTTCAGTATTTATCTTCATAGTAATACAATAGGTTTCAGTTTTTGCCACGAATTTTGTAATCCATGTTTTAATTAAATATGCAATATTCAGTTGTATGGATTTATATTCATTTTAAATGACCAATTTTATTTAATTTGTTATTCTTTGCTATAAGCCTTCGTTACAATTGTCAGTGGCAGAATATTTAAATTTGGTAGCGCAAGTGAAGTAATGCAAATTCTACGTTGAAGAAAGAGTTTAAAAACCGAATTTTAGTAGGAAAAAGGGGATAGTTAGGCAATTTGACGTCACCTCTGCTGCTTAAGCGTCTGCTCCCAGAGATATTGCTGGTTCGCTTGGCTTAACTACATTCACCTGCTGCCACTAGATTTCGACAGGGGTTTAATATACAGGGATTATTCTGAGCTCTGTAGTTTAGTTCGACGACTTGTACATATCTTAAATCTTGAATTAATTCTTTTTTATTTCAGTTACCGCGCAAGCAGAGGCGTAGTTTGTTAGCGTCGAGTTGGCGCATTGTAAATTTTAAAGAGTTAACAAAGGATACTTTTAACCCATCTTCTGTGGAGTTACTACTCTTACAGTTATCATACAGGAGTTATCCTATTGGAATCTAATGTATAATTTATGCATTTCTATTATAAATATGATCTAAATAATATAAGAGAGAAGCTGTACAAGCAAGCCTGTGCTTCATTTTCACTAGAATATCCATAAAGGACAGCTTTCAAGATAGAAATTAGGAATATTAATACACTCTTTAGCATATATCTATTCTACATTTGATATAATTATAAAGCGAGGTAGAATAAAATTAAACGGTGCTTTGCAATAAAACAAATGACGTACATAAACTGGTCCGCAAATCAAGAAAAATAAAGGAAAATTTTACTTTTTAGTAATATTATATAAAAGAAGTAGGAAAAATTATTGAAACAATCATTTCTTATAAACTTTAATCAAAAGTATCCATTAACAAGCAACATTCTTTGGATAGTATAATATGTGACATCGGATTTTAACAAGGAAATAAATATTAGTACAAATTAATTCATTCATTAATTAATGATTTAGTAGTATCCTTATTTTACAGTATAGAAAATGAAATAAAGATTAACAGTAAAAAGGATTTTAAAATGACATTTTCTAATTTAAAAAAAAATTATCCTATCTTTGCGTACATACATTTCACATCCCTCCCGAAATAAAAGTAAAATTAATGTGTACAACTTTATGCTCGGAAGGATAAAAAGTAAATTTTTGGATGCGGTTACGGACACGGATACCGATTATGAAGTTGCTTATAAGACCTCCGAAGAGACCTCAATAAGCTAGATAACAAAATTAGGCCTCTTGGGGGCCATATGATTTTGACACGCCAGCAGATGAAGCTTCAAAAACAGAAGGGATAGTAAGATAAAAGTGGGGAGACCATTGTCTCCTGTACTGCAGATGTGCGGGTCAAATGAAAAGCGACGAGAGACAGAAGTCATGCCCCGCAAGAAAACAAGTAAACGCTGGCAGTCAAAGCATGTTACGAAGTTGTGGTCCCTAAGCCTGTGATTTGATTTGGTAACTAAGAACTTCTGAAAAATGTGCAGCATCACAACTAAGTTCAGTTTTTAAGAAAGGTTTATTTAGTAATGTGGTCCACTACAGTGTAGACTTTCAAGTCATCATGAATCAGTATGTTTCTTTTCAGGTCATGAGAATTCATAATTCCTTTCAGAATCTTATTCTGTACTACCTGAGGTTTGTAGAAGTCTGCCTTAGTCACGGTCAGCTTGCAGATGCAATACAGATGCACGACGGTCAGCTTGCAGATGCATAGCGTAGAATTGGCCTTATAATACATAAGTATATCCTTCTGCTTTCAGACAGTCCAGAGTAATTTCCTGTAAAGCTGGTTAGAAAAAACGGCCTCTTCTTATTAGTGTAAGGCTACTGATACGATTCTAAAAGGCATCGGTACATCCGATAAGTTATCTGCATAACAGATTTGAATTTATTTAAAGGATATTCGCTTGTATGCAATCAAGTAATGTGTGAAAATGTATTCTGCATGTATTAAATAAAATGCAATACATACGTTGAAGTTTATAAGAATAAGCTTTTCATTTCTCTTACCTCGTCAGCATAAAAGACTTTTCATCGGTAAGTCTTACTCATTTTGACCTATGTTTGGTACTATTTCTTAAAGATGTCTGTCTAAATAATAAATAATTAGATATTTGTTTTTCATTTAATAACTGTAAATTATACAAGCCAGTGAAAAACTGACAACAGAGCTAGAGAGCGAATTTTTTATATGAATCAGTCATATATATTGAGTTAGCAAGAAAGTAATTTCTTGTATACAAAAAAAGAATTTTATTCGGTCAAATATCTTCCATTCTGTGCAAGAAACTCAACCAAGTGCGTTTTGAGACAATAGTTATTACTGAAATTTTCACAATTTCAGAAGTTTTGTAAACTTCGGAATAAATAAAAATCCAATGGTCCACAACATCACTTCCGAGCTACAATAATTTTTACATGTTTGTAAAGCTGTATGAACCTCGCATTATCGTGATAGAACACTACTCCTTTGTCATTAACCAATTTTGGCTTTCTCTCTTTTATTTCTTCCTCCAGTTTCATAAAATGTTGACAGTAGACATGCGAATCGATTGCTTAATTGCTTGAAAATAGTTAAAAATAACCGTCAGATTGATAGTATGATATTTTCCCGATGCAATTTAGCTTTAGATATGATTTGTGCTGATTCATCATGGTATGACCATGATCTTTTTCGACGCCTTCTTCATCACCAGTGATAATTTATTTCAAGAAAGGGTCGATTGCATTACATTTGAAATTTGTATCATGAATATTAATTCATTGTGTTAAAAGAAATTGTTTAAGTTATTACGGAACCCAAATATCGAGCTTCGTAACGAGTCTCAAACATCTTACGTGATTTTCGATTGTTGGGTATAATACATTTAATCTTTCCGTAATCTCTAGCACAGTTGTATGATGATTCGATTCAATTATGCCTTTAATTTTGGGATCATCAGCTTCAGAAGGTTCGCCAGAACGGTAGGCATCTTCAAGTGAGAAATCTCCAGAACGAAATATTTAAACCGATTGTGACACAACGTTCTCTTAAGCAATCCGCAACACTTCGCATACCTGTTAGTGAGCTTAAGCTGCTTTTTTGCTTTTATGGAAAAAAAAGTAAACTACGTCGAAAATGTTTATTTTTGCACCCCATGTTAAAAGCTGACTTTAAACTAACAGCTGCAAGCAAAAATAAACGGAACTGGTTTATATAACGATTAAAACGCGTCAGCTACCAAATCTTAAAAGAAAAAAAAAAGGATAAGATTGCCAGACGAATAAGAAACGAACATAATGCAATATATATATGTAAAATATAAAAATTACTTTGGATTTGGTCTGCGCGAACAAGCAACCTATAATTAACTTTTCGCAATTTCAGGATCTTACCCCTAGACTTGTGCTTACGAGAACATTGCGGCGTGTTATAAATAATGAGTGCGCGCCATTTTTCGTCAAATTGCTTTCTTCCACCGCTGCTACAAGACCTTGCTGCTGCTCATTCCATTTTTCCCCTTTGTTAGAACAGTCATGACGTAGAAAGTCTAAATTTAATCTTAATTAGTTTAAATCACTACTGAATATGTAATTCGGATAATTTCATCTAAAGGAAAAATGATCTCCTGTGAGAATTGAATAAAAATGTCGAATCTAAAAAGCTAAATCCTTCTTTGTCTTCATTTTGCTGCCTTCTGCTCAGCCACAAAAACGCCCGGACTCTGATGTAATTATATTCTCGAGCTTTGTCATTCCTGTGTCTGCCTGTCAAAATATTACATATATATATATGTAATATTACTTATATATTAAACCCAAATTACTTTCTTGCAAATCCAACACAACTGGAAGGAAGAACTTGTTTGAAAGTGCAAGAAAAAGGTTTTTTGTGTGGCAACAGCCAAATATCCGCTGCTGAAAGCAGAAGTTTTGTCTTTTGTGAAAGTCAAAAGTAATCTGATTGTGCTACTACTATGATCATAATACGCTCAAAACCCGAAGGGGTTAAGAAATCGAATCTGTTGCATGTGCAAAATGAAGTGCACTTTTTATGCGGTTAAATGATTCCTACTTGTAGAGAAAATACGCAGTAGTTCATATATCCTTAAAGATAATATTGTAGGATTTGACAAATAAGTAATTCGAAAAAACATATTCTGATTGCATCAAAGATTAAAATTGTAAATCACTTTGTAATTTACTTATGTCATTCCTGAAAAAATTCGAAGTACTTTAGCACTAGTTTTTGTTTTTCTGCTAACATGTTAATATATGTATGTGAAAAAGTACTTTTATGTTGGAGATATACATAACATTTTGTTTTCTATAATTTTTTACCATTTTGGTGCAAGCTAGACTTAAAACTACTCATTACGCTATTTATAAGAAGTATTTCAAAATCATGTATCTTGTATATGTGGATATTTTCTAGTTAAAGCTCTAAGCAATAAGTAAACTTTCGGCAATTTTGTGCCTTTTTTTACATTCGCCGTAATTCAGAATTTTGTAATTTCAAAACATGAGATTTTGTTTCTATGCTGGATACTATTTACTTGCTTTCGACTCTTTTATTAAGTCGTGATTTAGTTTGAGCAAAAACTAAACAGATACTTATATTAGAGTTTTGAATTCTCATACGTCAACTTGCATTAAAAATTTACAGAAATACCGATTTGTTTTCAGTTAATAGTATGACATTGGCTTACGAAATATTTATTCGGGAAAAATAATATGAGGGGGGGGGGGTTATCAAGACAAATGTGGTAGCTTACTTCGGTGCTGAAACAGAAGGTTTGTCACTAATAAGATCCAAATGTTGGCAATGTATGACAAAGACAATGTCATACTGCAAACTTGAGATTAAGTGAAGCAATTTTTACTTGAAGCTCGTATAAATGAAGAAATAGTAATAAGATTCGTATTAAAAAGTTCATCGATAGAAATGTATGGAATAAAGCTTATCAATATTTATCACACTTCATTTTGTTGTAGCGATCCTTGCCAAGAATTAACAGAAGCTTTTACTGCTTGGAAGAAGACAACAGAGAGCCCATGTCACGAAGAAAGTGTAAGAGAGAAACTCGCTCTTGACCACCAGGGAAAAAGTTGTATACCATGTCTCCCAGTGTCAAATGCATATCATGATGTCTTGAAAATAGCAGTACCTGTAAAAGAGAATAAAAACTTTTTTCTTTGCGAAACAGGACCGTCACAGGTGTCTAAATATTGGTGGAAAAGAACATGTTGTGACCATGAGGACAAAATCGAGCCCAATGTGGAAGACGTTCCCCAAGAACTAACAAAACCCACCTGTCCCTCTTATGCCACAACTTACCGGCATGATTTTGTATCACCCGAAAAGTATGTAAGGTAATTCATATCAAATTTTATATAAAACTCTAAGTAGTGCCCGGAACATCCAACATTTCAAAATCCATCTTACGAGATGAATGAATGAATTTGCTTTTCTTCAAAACAAAATTCATATTTTTCTAAAGTAGACTGAATAAATATTTAGACTTACATTTTTTAATCTCACACAATTTCAGTCATTTTTGTTACGGCATAAACAATGAGACATAAAAAGTAGCTCTTCTCTGTTGTTCGTATGGCAAATGAATGAACAAGTGGATTGTTTTTATTCACTTAACCAACAAGTTAAAGAAATGGTTTCCGTTCACGTCTATTCATATTTGTGCACTTCGTAGCATTTTGGCTGATACTGTTTGCAGCTCTTCAATAGTGAAGCTTAAAATTGTATCCCTTGAGCTCCTCCAGGTTATGCGGACTGTTGGCATACACTTCCTGATTTAAATTTCCTCACAGATAAAAATCGTATGCGGATGACGGGGAGAACATAGTAGTAGCCACAAACTTGTGATTCGGTAAAAAATTAAAGAACATGTGCCGTCGCAAGGGGTGAGGCATGTTGCCTCATTTTTTTTAGAAAAAACAATTCCTTTTTTTTTCTTCTAGTGTTGGTTGGTTGAAAAATAATTTTAAAAAGTGCAGGTAAACTGGAGTATTCATATTTATTCGGAGAAAACTGTATCTTTATCAGTCCACCTGCTATAATAAGTAGTAAATCGCAGTAAGTAAAAATTGCAAAATAAGAGCATGGAATTGTAAACGAACTTCTTTAAAAAAACTTACATTTTTTAATTTAAGCTTATCGAGTCCAAAAAATAAATTATATAAATACAAGCAATCCAACACATGAAAAATAATAACAAATGAAAATTTGAAATCATACAGACCGTGGTAAAAAATATTTTGCAAATTACAGCAAAAGTCTAAAAAAAAAACATATTAACATAAGCAATCTAGCATATGAGAAAAAGGTAACGTTTGGCAATTTGGATCCAATAAACATAATAGAAAATGTGAAAGATGAAGAAGAATGAGTTCTTAAAATCTGTAACATTAGCGCAACAAAAGGTTTTGAAATGGAAAAACATCGAATTACTAATAATATATACTATAAAAACACTAAAAATTAATAATTTAATAATTTTTTCATTTCAAAACTCCTGTTTCTCTAATGTTACATACTTTAAGAAAGAACTTTATTTTTATTTTTATTTTAAGAACTATTCTTTTTATTTTATATTTCTTAAATCAATTTTTCATCTGTTATTATTTCTAATTACAATTTAATATGGGAGGCGTGTAAGTGTTTAGAAGAGGTTAATTCTTTCAATACAAAACCCATGGTTCCTCATCCTTGTGTTTTTTAAAGTTTTTACTGATTTTTGATTTCTTATGTAACTGTAGCCCTTTTTTCTCTTTTTGTGACTTTTAGTTTTCAAGATTTTAATTGTTTTTTAAAAAAAATACTTATATTTTATTAGCGTGCAACATCTAAAGATAATTATGTACTGTACTTCCTTATTAAAGCAGTAACCACAATTAATAAGTATATTTAGCAAATTTAATCACCCAGTTTGTAAAATGTAAGTTTCAGAATGCCTTCAAAGACTAATGCAGTGGCTGCTTTAGATACTGAAGTATCTTATCTATAAACGGCTTGCCAAAGTCAGCATAAATTGTAGAATACTTCATAAAAGTGAAACAAATGACCAAAAGGTAGTTTTATAGAGACTGCCGAACATCCTAACGTATTGCTTGCTAACTTAACTTGTTTTTATTGCAGTATTCATTTAATTAAATGCAATATTTATATATCATGCGTTATGAACATATTGAAATCCTGCTCAAAGAAATAAGCAACAAGGGAAAAACGCGGAATGAAACAAAACTTATTTAATGGATATGAGGAGAAACTGATCCAAGAGTTTGGTCTGGAACTACTGGAGCCCATAGCAAACAATAAAGCAAAGACATATAAAAACACATGTTTTAAGACCTCACATCGAAAACGACCTATCTGTTGAAATAATGTGCAATGGAAAAAACCTTTGATAACGGGTATATATACCCTTTAGCTGTAAAGCATGCTTGACAACGGTGAGGAAAGCAGGCTAAAGTGTCGTTGATAGCTTGTTGTGGCAGCAACGCCAATTTCTGTAGTAATGAATATTAACGATCGTGGAGGGTGCCTGGGGCAGAATGCAAACTTATATCCAAACATGTCCCTCACATGATGTATGGGATTTAGGTCGGAAGATCTAAGAGTCCACGGCAGATACGGAATTGTTTAACTTTCCAAATAATTTCGTACCACTCCGTCTGTATGCGAGCGGGCCTTATCATCTTGAATAACGTGTCCTCACCCATTGCAGCAATAAAAGGACGTAAAGAGGGTGAAGAATTTCGTCGAGATATCGGAGTCTGTGGCGGAATCCCCAGGAATCACGGAGAAGTCGATGGGCACGTTTGTTGCTATTCCAGCCCACATAAGTAAGCCTCCTCCTCTGTAATGGTGTTTTTTGACGATGTCTGCGGCCCAATTCCTGGTTCTCGCCATATTACTGCCCTTCGGAAATCGCTCTGGGTGTTAAATAGAGACGCATTCGTAAAGAGTACATGGCTCCACTGCTATATTGTCCAACTGCTATGTTCACGGGCTCAATTCAAACTCACTGAGACACGATGGAGACGAAGAAACACAAACCACAGGTCGTCGAGCATACAGTCTACCTGCGTGCAGACGACGCAACACAGTTTGGCGGGATTTTTGCCATCCTGCAGCAGCAGACAGATGTGACAGCAAACGTCGTGCTGTTAGTGTGTAGGGTTTATGTTTATTTTAACTAACATTTATTTTAAGTTTAAACTATCTTTCCTGTCAAGCCTTACTTTTCCCTGGAACTGCCAATACCAGAGTGAGTAAATTTTAGTAGAACGCGCAAGGATTCAAATTATCAGCGGAAGTATTCTGAGTTAAATAGAAAGGAAACGAGTTCGAAGTGTGCTTTTCTTACTTCACGAGCGCGGAGGTAGTTAGTTAGAAATTGAAGAACCACGCGTTTCGGCCTGTGTGCTTGCCTCGGCAAATTGTTAATCTTTCAACGTGATATTCAGAGTTTGCTGAATTATCAGCGGTATTGTAAAACGCGGTGAGGTTAGTTACGTTTAGAGAGCCTCGTAGTTAGTTACTTGTTAGTATCTCTTTTTTAGTTTCTTATTTTTATTTTACCGCCGGGTCGGCGTAGTTTGTGAGCGTCAAGAACACGCATTTGTAACTTCTAAAGTTGAATAAAAAGGGACTTAAACCCTTCTCAAGACTCTGTCTAATTTCCAGTTTTCAGCAGTCACTACTTGGTTGCGTGCAGGTTGGAAGCGCGCAACTTTACAATTGATCTATGGCATCTTGCACAAGTAACAGTTAGCGATCGTCAGCCGTTGTGGTGATCCTCCGGCGTCCAGATCCACATCTACAGGGGTTTTGATTCCTTTGCTAAGGATTCCACAGCCTGCTGATGACACTACGATGCATATTAAGCTCTCTCGCAGCAACGGATTGTATCAAACCAGCTTGCAACAACACCACGACCCTCCAACGCATTTCATCATGCAAATGATATCTTCGGCTCATGCTTTCAGCTTTAAATATATTGGATTACACGGAACTATCACTGTTTACGACCTAAGGCATGCAACCTCTACATCATATGTAAAATTGTACGTTTTAATTCCGCTTTCTATCATTGTGCCTTTTCTTTAAACGTTTGTTGCTTATTTTTAACACGAGTGTTTTCACGCGTTTTATACGATTCTCATATGTTCCATCAGTGAAGCTAGTTACGTTTTATTTATTTTTTTACATTTTTTGAGTTATTTGTAGATATCAGCCAGGATAAATGTCTACAAATGTAATTATTTTATTATAAGCAGTCATGTTCAATGTAATTGATTTCTGAAATTATAATTCAAAACTTTTTATTATACGTTTTCCATCAACTGTATATTTGCTCTTGTTTCTGGCATTGGTATAAAGTAATTTCTAAAATATCATTGTATGTCAAATATTGATAATATTTTTCATTATTTAGGGAATCGCAGAAATCAGAAGAGCAATATTACTGTACTCAAGAAAAGCCAGAAACAATTTGCTCTGACTCTGAACAGCTTGCTTCTTATTCAGTTTTTAAACAAGGTGGACTTATATGAAAGAAATTTGTGTAATATTTCAAAAGATTTAAAACGAAATATTTTATTTTTTGTTTCAATTACTTTATAATTTAAATAAAGAGAGCATTTGCTTAAAATATTTTACAGCTAAGTTTGTACATTTTTTAATAATTATGGCCTTCTTATTTGATATTATGCTACGCTACTGGGTTCGGTCTGAATCTCGCGTGCGATAGTTCCGTTTGTGACGGTCTTTTTTTTTGGCAGATCTTACAGCTTGTTATTGCTTAAGTTCTTCTAAAAGACTGGAGTTAGGGAGAAAGAGGCATAACATCTTCGAAGTCCATTTCTGTCGCGACTGGCATGGAATTTATGAACATTCCTCCTATGTGCTTTTATACCTTTATTAAGCAGTTTAGTTTTATTATAATTTTTCTTTATATCATAGAAGTTCAAACAGACTGATTCCAAATTTAAGCGAAAATTGCTATGATAATAAAGTACAGTCATGACTTCTGAGGAAAGGTATCAAAATACGAGCAGCTGCAAGTTTGCTTATGATTTTCATTAGATATAAAAATGTCACTGAGACAGGAAATGCATGAGAGAGAGAAATTTACTGAGAATTATGAGTCATGAAATTCACTCAGACATTCATGACACAGGAAAATATACTGATATTACTTTCGGTTTTTTTCAGCAACTAATCTTCCATTGCCAAATTAAATTTATAACTTGTGTATAAACTAATGATTACATAAATTTTATGAAACCTATTTCTGAAAAATATATGCGTTACTAATGTCATGAAATGAAAGCCTTTCAAGGTGGAAAGAAATGCAAGCTGAAAGTCCGACATCATCTTCTGCGTAATAAAATCATTACGGAACAACCTTGATCCAGAGACAGCCCATCACGGAAAATTAACAATAGCCCTACGAACCATTATTGATTATACGAGTTGGCAGAAATCACTTTCTGAGGGAGCGACGCAGATAGATAGGAAGATATGAAGGAATTGTCTTTGCACTGTCCCCAATACCGATCCGATGAGTGGGGGGCTGAGACTGGGCAAAAAAGGATGAAAGCTAAGCAGTCACAAGCAACATAACATGTGATTTATGACCTACACGCTGCGGAGTTACATATCGGATCACCATTTATTACAATCTATCAGGGGCTGCTGTTGCTTCCGAATGGTGTTTATGTGTCACGAGACTCTTGCAGTGAAACAGTAGAGGGGGACAGCAAAAAACATCCATTCTAGTGAAAAAATAGCAGCTAAAATCAAAGGTAATCCAATCTATTGTAAAATCACCATTTCAGAATGGAGAAAAAAAAAGAGGGCTATGGTCCTTTGAGCTATGTTCCTCAAAGCAACAAGTATTCCCTCAAACCTTTCTGTCGCATTAATTTACTAATAACTTCGCAAATTGACTTTCACAATCAAAATTTCTTCAATGCGATGATTACAGTTTTTAAAATGCTTCTTAAAATTAACATATACTCATGGAAATTAAAAATAAGTTATATTTATGTTAGAATAAAAAAATGATATAAAATTTCTTGTTACATTTAGCCCTTTATGAAAAGCATATATCAACTTACAAATATCAGGATATTTATCAATGTTGCAATATTTCGATGCGCACAATTATGCCTTTTCCCAGTTCCCAGTTTTCACGAAGCAAAATATATCTTCAACAAATTTTGAGGACTGAAATTGCACCCTATCACACAGTAAATGATTCCACATATATCACCAATAAAGTAAATGATTCCACATATTCCACACTATAGCTAATTAAAATGTAAACTGTTTAGTAATAAACTTATTCACTATTTGTGAACAATCACGACGAAACCAAATACAATATATCTCTGAAATTGTGTTTTCATGAATGAATATTTAAGAAATAATGGATTATATTAGAGGTTACTGTTTAAGTTTTCTCCAGAAATCCCGGCACATTTCTTTTCTACATTGTGTTCTGTTTTGCTGTTTAACAGCTGGTAAAACCCAGTAATTCTAAAAGCACAACACCTAAAATACTTACAAGGTATGTGCAAGAAACACCCGATAGTTAAATTACGAAGAAGAAAACTCACAAAAATGTACATATTTACAAACACATTTCTCAACAACCTTCAGATATTTAAGAACCCAACTCGGTTCTTAAATACTTTTCCGGAAATTGAAAAGATATAGTCATTGTTATTATTATTAATACTATTATTATTAATAATACTATTTCTATTATTACTATGGTTATAATTATCATTCTTATTTTCAGATTCTGGTTATATATACATGTACTGCATATCAGTTTTTCCAATATACGTGTGCTCTTGAAATTTTGTATAAAAGTTAGCTTTTGTACTCCGTAAATAGAGATCGACCTGCAAATTCTTAATAGAGTATTGGAAGTTACAGACAAAATTTTTCATTGGAAATGCGAAAGAAAGTTCCCTATTAATATATTACTATTATTAAAGAGATTTGAATTCATCTGCTATAATAGGGTAATTAGAAATACATTGACTTCATTAGCTAGATGATTAAATACCTTTAGAACTCAAAACTATAACATAAAAAAAAGAATCTTAAATGGAATCTTTAAAAAAAAGAATCTTAAAAGGAAATCAAAGTATAGAAAAGATGTTTTTCGAATAGATACCATATTGATAAGCCGTACGCACTAATTTCAATTTTAAACTTGTTTCTAAATTTTAAGTTATTTAAGTTATTTAAAATCTAAAACTCAAAACTCTAAGTTTAATAGCATTAATTGCCTCTAAAATACTTTAAAAATGATGAATGTTTGCTGTACTCGACAGAAACATTCAGAAGATTATTCATTACTGCATAATCCCATTTCACAAATGATTTACACGGTGTGGAATAAATTTATTAAAAGAATATCAAAACTGTTATTTACAGTTCAATAAACATATGAATTATGGATTTCGTTAATACGATGGCACAAATGACATAATTAATATCTCAAATCCTAAAACACTGAAATTCAGTATTTTACGAAATAATTTCTCTCAAAGACACGCATATTACCTATGAACATTTAAACACATATTTTGTCATTTAAAAAAAGGCTGTTGTGTAAAATTAGATAATTTACATTTCATATTAATTACAGTTTAAATCTAAAAATCTCTTTAAGTATACCCGTGGCAAAACTAAGAAATTTTGTACATTATGTTACATTTCGAAAAAACTAATAGACAGATTTTAATGACATTTTGAACGAATAGGTAGCATTCAAATGTCATTTTATGTACGTATAATTAGAAATAAAGCTTATAGCGCCGGCATGTCCAAACTCCATGTATTGATATCGAACTGAAAATGAGTCTAATACGGCGGATTGTTCCTTCTAACAAAAAAATAGACTGCGCAGCCTGACGGCATACTAGACTCAAGGCAGTTGAGGAGTCCCCAGTCGATCGTACTCCTGCAGTAAGGCAGTACTCAACTCTGAGATTGTTTATGGAGGAAGATAACGAGATGAAACTTGACCTACTAAGAGAATCCCAAACGCGCTTTGTAGGGATAAACTCAGAATATCTGGCTGGCCAATCATGCGACGAATATCCTCACTAACCAGGTAATCATAGAACAGTTTATCCTTATGTGTACAAGCGTTGAAGTCCATATACATTATACATCCACCATCGTAATGACTGTTTTCTTTGACGGGTGATAGAGGATATCGTGTTCCAGCCTCTCTGCAAATACAGGTACGCCAAAATCGGTGTACAGCCTGAATCTCGACTCATTTGTAAAATCTACGGTGCTGCACTAAAGTTTGGTCCAACATGCATGTTGTCTGCAGCTTATTTAATGCGCTGTCTTGTGTTCTGCAGCCATAGGAAGCTAGGAAAGCAGGTCTTATGGCATACAGCCCTATTTCATGAAAACTTTGGGCAACTCTATACCGTGTCGCAGCACACGTGGTAGCTATGAAGCTGTGACTGTCCTGTGTCGCCGCGCTGAAAGTACCAAATAACGATTGGCATTTGTCGTTGTGGATCTTGGTCGATTTTTTATATAAGACTTTTCTATATGCGTCCAATGTGAACTGCAAACGATGCTGTGTGTTGCATTGAGCTCTGTAGCCACAGCTCTTGTGATTAGCCTGCCTCCAATCTGCGGATAATCTTCCCTCTCATTCCGTTCTCCATACATTTGAGGCTACTCGTTTTAACAAGCACCTTTTAAAAGTTAGCTAAATGTTGCTAGAAACACGGCTAATGAAGTGGAGGAGTACGAGGATACAATTCGCAAAACACCCTTCCGTGTGCTCCTATTTCCTTCACAATCAGGTGCAGATACGCACGTACACACTGTAGTCGACTCTGAATACTTGCACGATTCTTCGGTGGCATACGTAGCACATTTGGCTTAGTACTTTTCGTGAAAATAGTCATAATTTGAAATTCTTTTAAATTTGCACACAAGTGAATTATCTAATATTTTCAAATGTGGACATTACAAATAAGGTTTGGTTTGCATGAGGATTATAGAAAAACACTGGAGAGTTTTATGCCTAAGAAGAGGAATGACTTTGTGAAGAAATTCTTAGAGAAACCTGCTTATTACAGATTAGGATATTAGGTTTGCCGATTTGGGCTGCTAAGCGAAGCGACAGCCGTAAGTAAAAGTAAAAAAGTAAGTTCCAAATTTGTAGTCAGTGCAAAATCGGAATTATGAATTTGGTGAAAACCAGATTAAAGAAAATTATTTTTAGAAGTTTTTGTATATTTTGTAGTTGAAAATAAAACATTACTTAAAATATATGAGCCATAAGGTAATATTTATAATCCAAAAACCAAAATCCAAAAAACTGCATTTTAAAAAATATTTAAGAAAATTGTAGAATATTCCAAAAGCTTATTTTAACTTTTAAACCACAGCTAGATCAACATTTATTTACTTGAGAAAAATAATTTTATGCAATTTGGTAGTAAAAGGTGAGAATTTTCGATGTAATAATTTTCGCAAATAGATAAAAGTTTCATCGCTGATTGCAGTTTCATTGGGACTTACACCAACATTATCATAGTGTTGCTCTAATGATGCGTATCCCTTAAACACAGAGACGGGGTCT